GCCTTCATTGACCTTTGACCTGTGACCTCCAATTTCGGCACAGTGATGGCTTTTCCTACCATTATGCTATACACTGACTATCACGAGCCTAGGTCGAGCCGTTTAGATTGTGCCGCAATTCTGCATTTCCTCCCTATACCTTAAGTTAAGGAGGGAATGTTCCCCCTTCTTTTACACCTCTTGACCTTTGACCTTGGACCTTTGACCCAGCTTCGACATCCCAACTCGTTTTCGGATTACCCCACCACGTCCCGACTTTCGAATCCATACGTCGAGCCGTTTAGATTTGTGCCCAACTACATTGACGGACGCACAGACGGACGCACGGACGCACGCACGGACGCACGCTCCTGCGATTCTACAAGCTGCATCTGACTATGTCAAATGAGCTAATAACATAATACAGCTACGGCCCTGTGTTTATACCTCAGTCTCGGAGGCGGCTGAGTCGGACGGATGTGATAGACCGTTGATGTACTCGGCTTGTGCCGCGATGCGTCGCACCTGCTGCCGCGTCACCAGGTATATGCGGCCGTAGCAGAACACAAGCACGACGAGCGGAGGTACATAGAATAAACCTATCACGCTGAACGTCAGTGTCGGATTGCCGTAGAACGGCTCGCACGTCGCGCCTACGCTGTCGAAGTAGAAGAGGCGTGCAGCAAGTACTATTGCTGCGTAGCAGACGAACGTGACAGCCCACGTGCCGGCGACCATAACAACGCAGCGGCGATGCGTCATGATGGCGTCATAGCGAAGCGGGTGCAGGATGCAGACGTAACGCTCGACGGCGATGCACATGAGCGCCATCGTCGACTGATGGAAGAGCGTGCCAATGAGCACGGCCTCGATCTGAAACACACGGACAGGCCAGGGTCGTATATAAAGACGGCTATATATACGGCTCTGGGACAGGCGCGTGATGGTGCTGCCATCTGATGGAAGGAACACGCCGCTAAGCACTGCCTCGATCTGAAACCAGAGCACGTGTATCATATACGTAATATACGTGCTCTGCTGAAACACACAACAGGCGTGTGATGGTGCTCTATCTGATGGAAGAACACGCTGATGAGCACGGCTTCGATCTGCACGGGCAGGCGCGTGATGGTGCTGCCATCTTGGGCAGACATATGTAAACATGTGCTGTTACTGTTGGGAGAAAACTTGTGGAAGAGCGCACCCATAATATAATATATATATATTGTCGATATGAGACACGGCTGGTAAAGCTACAGTAGATTTCCACTAATTACTCCCCGATGCAATACTTCGCATTGTGTATGGGCAATTTTGTGTATGGTAATAATATCCTGTATTTTTGAAGGAATACCAATATTGCCCTTCTTCATGCATGCTGCCTACGGACGCCGTTTAGTGGCGCTTTCCTCCTACTGGTAAATTCACGCGTGAGCCACTTTTGACGATCCGACTTGTGGTACTTTTATTATCCTACCAAGATTTTGTATATTGTCTTATATTGGACTACGACTACTACTATTTAAAAAATGCAATTGTAAATACTATCAATTATAATTTTACATTGCATCATAGTATCTTCTTTTTTTATATATCTACACATATACTTATTATATTATATATATTTATTATTATGTATACAACAACAATAGGAACATTTTCACAACATGCTTCATATTTTACGGTTGCGCTTATTTTCTATACTTTGCCCCAAAAATTGCACCTATTACGAAAATTATATTGTCACGTAAAGTTGTGGGTAGATTTTGTTATTCAAAGAAGGGAGAACGGTGGGGTGGTTCATTCCCGGTAAAACGAACCAGACGAGTGTGACACCACAGACTGTTTGTGTCTATATAATATGCTATATAATTGCCAAACCCTACCTAATTTGCATTTTTTAAATATCAAAACCCCTAGCCCTTATTCATGCACATACCAAAAATGAGCAAAATCCGTTGAACCTGAACCGACTAATGGCAATTCCAATTTTTGCCAAAAAATTGCCGTGGCTCAAAAGTACGTCGACTAGCGTGCTTCAAAATAGGACGTTTAATATGGGAGCATAGCAGTAACAACTATACCCAATTTCAAACATGTGGGTCAAACGGTTCCTGAGTTATCGTTGACCGTAGCGAAATGTTGACGGACGGACGGACGGACGGACGGACGGACAGACGGACGGACGGACGACCGACGACCCATGGCAATAGCTCAGCTTGACGATGTCAAGGTGAGCTAACAAAGCTAGGACTTTTTGTTCGTCGTTTGTAGACTATCCTGCACGTTTCGAATGGTGCGGTGCCTTGTAAAATACAAGAGTGGGTCACAACATATAATATACATATAATATAATATATCAGATGCAGGACAAAAGATACCTGCCACGCGTCGGGGTATTCGTTACTATGGTTGCAGTGATACAGTGTACTGAAGTCAGGCATGTTAACTTCACGGCGTTTGTCTGTCTTTCTTAGTTTCAATAGACTCCACAACCTCGGCGACTGTCTGTCTATCTGTCGTTGAGAAAACTCCAAAGCTATGGTGGTCGTCTGCCACTAAGACAATTGTACTGCGTTGCCATCTATCTTGCCACTGAGACGGCTTCACTGCTCCAGTGTATGCCTGTCACTGGCACAACTCTCGTCTGCCACTAAGGCAACGTCTCTGCCTTGGGATCTGCCTATCACTAGGACAATTCAATCCACTGCATATCTCACTGGCATTAAAACAATTGTACTGCCGTAGTGTCTGCCTGTATGCCTGCCACTGCCGACAACTTGAATGCCACAATAACCGGCACAGATCCCTTCCTCGCTATCACAAATAATAACGACCAACTCTACTCTCGTTTTATCACCGGCGGAATTCCTGACTCAGGCAATTACACGTCATCGGTATGACATCATACCTTACGCCTTACACATCAGCGTATACATATACAGCTATATAGTGCACACATCACACTCGCTCCATGGTACATCACTGCGCTTGCTATGGCGGCTGAGTATAGACAAGCGGCTACCATTATAGGATTATATATAACGAAGAAGGCCAGAGTGCGCAGTCAGTCAGCCGATCTAGTCAGGAGAGCAGGGCAAACACTGCGCGCCTTCAGGTACGCGCACGGACAGAGTAAAGCAGCAGAGAGTGCTGCTGCTGATACTGGCTTCACGTGCCGTGCAGGGAGGGAGAGAGCGAAACACCAGAGCATCGCGGCAAATGTACCTTAAACACAACTATGTACACAGGGTTAGCGAGGTGATGCTAGAAGTGAAGTAGAATTGGGCAAGCTAGCTGGTATGTGCTCTGCTCCATGTATCCGTTTGTTTGTACAGGCCTGCGGCAGATGTTGGAAATGAAACGAGTTGTACAAGCTACAACTTGTACTAAATGTTGTAGAAAAAGCAGGGGCAAGCTGGATGGCTTAGTGGAAAAGCTAATGCCTACTCGGTTGCTGCAATCAAGTGCTTTACAGTATAGACCCTTGTAACCTTATGTATACACGCGACATATCATGTAGCGACAATTTCCTACTGATATTATTAGAATATATACTAAACATAGTTCTCTTTGCCATAAAAAAGACGTTACATAATGTATACTATAGTATACATATGTTCACGCTACTAAAGGTACATGGTGTCTTGTTTATACACTGCTTGGCATCGCGCCAACAACTCTGACTTCCCTGCGACAGACAGCTCAGAGCTGAAGCCAGCACAAAATAATGTAGTGCTGCGTGTGTCCATCAAGGTCAGAGTAAATAACACAGTTTTTAATGTAGAATGGATGCGAGTCATCGCGAGGTGTGGAGTGGAGACTAAATGCTCATTCACACCGCGGCCTAAAGAATAGTAATCGAATCCGCTCCGACGTATGCCCCTTTATCTACCCTTCTCCCTTTGGTCGCACAGCTAATATATAATGCTTCATTGCCTCATTCATGTCAAGCAGTCACTCGATCCTACTTTGGATCCACGGTATATTAATCATCATCATCACCGTCATCATCATCATCATCATCACCACAATCCTAACGTTCACCTATTCCTAATCGTAACACCCAACCATAACTATAACCTTAATCCCTAAACATTACCAACAAACAACCTAATCACCAACCCAACCACACCCCTATACCACTATACCTAACCTCTAACCCAACCCCTTTTTTATTCATAACCTCCTCCTACCACTAATCTAACCCTATCCTCATCAGAAACCTTATACTAATTTAATGATAAGCCGATCATTAAAAACCAGCGGTGCCAAAAGCAGAATTACAGCAGTTAGATTAACGGTATTTCAGTCGCGCGGTCACGAGAGTCCATGTTATCGTCCAGTACGACTTTGGATTCATAAACACTTGGGACTCTGTCAAATTCCGCCTCCCTCCTACTACCGCACTCACCCGCTGCTAATAACACCAGACCCAACCAGACTGAGACATACATGCTATACCCGCTTTCCAGCGCGTCCCCCAGCAACCAACAAGCCTCGCTGCTCGACTCCTCTCATAGGCTATCATTTATTAGATGCTTATTAAAACTCTACGGCTGGAGTAAACACTTGATCTGAGCGGGGCACAACAGTGCATGCGCAAACCCGCTCCTGTATAGGTGGACGTTGAGGCGCGTCTAGCACATGATCGGCCCTCTACTATAGACTATTCCCGATACGTATACAGACACGCCGAAAAAACGCTATCACCTCACACCAAAGGAAAAGGAATTCTTTTTACACGGGATCATGTGTGTGTGTGTGTGTGCGCGTGCGCGTGCGTGTACGTGTGTGCGCATGTAAGAGGTAACCAAGGATATTGTTGTTAGGTATATGCTAACCTAGAGCCATCCCATCGCCATACAAACCTGCACCCCTACACACTGCCAAATGCATGTACTTATGCCACCCTGAGAATTTCGCAGCACTGTTGGCAAACATAACCGATTATGTATGCAACAATAAATCCCCAATCCCTGACAATTTCCTGCGTTAGCACCAGTACTACAAGGTATGATATTAATAAGTCTGTAGCCACTTCTTAATCGAAACAGAAAGCATAAAACCTATTGTTTTGGGGTGTCCTACACGATAAAGTGTGTATGAATGCTTTAGTACATTCAGTCTCTATAAGATTGTCAGAACACGACGTGGGAGAACCAAATTTAAGCAGCGTGGAGCAGCAAAGATATTATTTTTTTCGATTACGTGTGCCACAGATGTTAGATGTTCAGCGAATTTTGAGAATACACAAGTTAGTATAGTATGATGTTGTTTGAACCAGGTTCAGTACATTTAGAAGTGCAGAAGGTGCAGCAGCTACAGGAAAGAAACACCCAAACCCACAACAGTAGCAAATTAGCATATCTAAACATCCACTTAAAATCAATGAACACGGTTTCTACAAATAGCAGTCTATTTCCTCATTATTTCGCATGATAACATTTCATAATAACACTTTACCCAAGTCTATCTTAATTAAAATGAACAGTAATCACTTCCATTACTCATCAAAATCTACAATGGCACACGTGTAAGAACCTGAAAGCAAGACATATTACTCAAAATGCATCACTCACGTTTGATATTTTCACTATCAAAATCATGCAAAAAACATGGCATTTGACTGTGTCGAGCAACTAATTTACACGTGTCGCCGTCGTCAGCAAAACCTGTTGAACGGACGATGGTGAAGCACTTTAAGCCTCTCATTGCATAAATCGATGTACGAGCTAACATTTTCATAGGTTTAATTGCATGATAAAACAGGATGTACAAATGCCCCCAGCATATCCCACGCAATGACGTCATGCATACACTCGGCCTTCATCAATCGACCCCTCTCCAACAAGGCTCTGCAATGCAAGTGGACACCGGAATAAACTTATCAGAATCCACCCATCCATTACACCTATTCTCACATGCACATATTCTATTCCCTTTATGGAAATAGAGCAGAGGAAAACTAACCTCGGCACCCATAGGCACCTGGTGTAAGTGTGCAGCAATATGCCTAGGTGGTAACTGTAGCAGGCTCCCTGTAAGTGGTGTCCTATAGAAGGCTGCCAGGACAGGTGAAAGGCTGCCGAAAGATGCCACCTCTGAGCAAGGATGTGCCAAGGTTGCATCACCCCCACCCACCCATGGTAAGCTACCTAGGTGGAATCGTCCGTAGTCACCTCGACCCACGCATCAACTCGGCCAACTCAACCAGCCGGCGAGGCGAGTTGACCGGTGCCCAGGTGGAATATATTGAGAAAGCAGTCAAGGTGCTATTAGAGAACACCTAAATATCAGTCAGTGGAGACAAGTGTCTCTCCCTGAAGTACTTGTGAGGCTTATGGTGCTGAGAGGATAGGTTTGCTGTGCGTTGAAAGTAGGATAGCACAGATGGTGTGGAGACCTGATCCTCAACGTCCTCATCATCCTCCCTATCGAATAAACCAGATAAAATAGATGAATCAGAACTCTAACTACTGTTTCAATTATCCCACTAAGGTGATGTGTTACTCAATCAGACTGATGGCAGACAATATTAGCTGCTATAATAACACCTAACACGATGTTACACTCTCACAAGAACTTCGTCATCCTTTGACATACTTATTACGACTAGCAATGGACGACAATGACCATTACTGTATACGCTAATTTCGCGAACGCGTCCCGACTGCGAAAATAACAACACGCGAATAATTCATACCGAATAATTCATAATTCACTGACCGCGAAATTACTGTCAAGTCTGAATTCGCGAAAATATCTATACGCGAAAAATATGGCGTACACAGTATGTCAAATAACAGCAACAACAGCAGCAGTAGCACTAGCAACAATGAGAATGCTATCAATTTACCACGACACTGCCACACATTTTTTCACTATAATCTTTGATGCCGTTGACCAGCTGAACCTCACAAACTGCGGGAAGGCAAACACGGGGTCAGGATTTGACAGGAACTTCACGGTCTGTGGATCTGTGGGCAGAACAACAAGCACCATGTAACCTGCTATTAGTCAAGTAGGCCTGCATTAATTCACAACTTGTTACATACGTGCTGGCTGTAATTAAAGGTACTAGAAGTATGCATGCTCAATATCATAAACATTATAATCGATAGTTACTGCGTCTATACATTTCTATGAGCACAATAATGAAATGTTATCATCGCAGATATAATGTATTGCTTATCTCTGTTTTTCACCTCCTGGGTAGCCACTGCCAATGCTGACATTGTCAATGTCATCAACATCAAGTGTCTCTGGAAATTTCCAGCCTTTCACTGCCTTGTCTCGGCAAACCTAACAAGGGGTAAACTGACAATAAACACGTGAATTATGCTAAGAAAAAAATCTTCTAAACAAACCTTCTTAAAACAAGTGCCGCGGAGCGACAGCGCTCATCTAACGTCTACAGCGGTGACTCTGTGGTGGAGTGGTGGGATTCTAGTAAACCCTGTTAGTCCCAAATGTGTTCACATACACGCCGAAACAGTGGAATGCACAGGGATGGTATCAGGAACCTTCTCAAAGGAATGTTCGTTGGGACGTTATGAAGTTGCCACGAGATGGCGCGTACGTTTAAGTGTCTTCAGATTAAAGATGGAAGCTCTCATGTACGTAGTAGCAACAACTATTTGCAAGACAGAATAGGTAAGCACTCATCCATTTACCTACGCAAGCCTACAAGCTGCAAATTGCAATGAGAGAGCTGCCACCTGTAACCAATTAAGGCAGGCAAAAACTGCACAACAACATGCACTGGCAGCAGCCACTGGCAGTGGCATACGTTACATGTAACATACTGAAGTACAGAATGAAATAGAAATTATACAATTTAAGGAACATACACCTTCTTTAACCAAATTTAGCTTTTGAAATTTCACTGTGACATTGTAGCCTCATACATCCAGGCATGTATAGATTCTACTAGCAAACCCGGCAGTCAAATTCTTTCTAACAGACAGTCAACAAATCCAAGTTTAAACCTCCTCTTGAGGGTCAAAAGGTTATCTGACACTTACTCTTCGCATGTCAGCAGAAGGGACATTTCATGGTCCTTTTAATAAAGCCATAAAAATGCTAGGTCACCGGCTGAACAAAAAAGTTTTTCAATCGCTCCGTCAGACCATGTCCTCAGAAAATGTCTAAAATCTGCCCTGTGCCACTGACCTTTGACTGTGACCTCCAATTTCGGCACAGTGATGGCTTTTCCTACCATGATGCTATACACCGACTATCACGCGCCTAGGTCGAGCCGTTTAGATTTGTGCCGCAATTCTGCATTTCCTCCCTATACCTTAAGTTAAGGAGTGAATGTTCCCCCTTCTTTTACACCTCTTGACCTTTGACCTTTGACCCCCAGCTTCGACATCCCAACTCGTTTTCAGATTACCGCCCACCATCCTGAATATCGTGACCGTACGTCGAGCGGTTAAGATTTTGCCTAACTGTTGACGGACGCACGGATGGACGGACGGACGGACGGACGGACGGACGGACGG